GCTCGAAGTAATACCACACTTACTTTATCATTAAGTTCCTGTGCTAATCGTAAATGTGAAACTGCATGTTCATAAGCGCTATCAAAATCACCCAAAGCTTTGTAGGTATTTGCTATATTGCCATGAGCTTTCGCAAGTCCAGAACGGTCGTTGAGCAATCTAAAAATGGATATAATAGTAAATGTCATGACGTGAAGATTTTGTTTGTGCACTGCGAACAAAACTGAGAGAATGTTATTTTAGCCTTACTTTGCAGTTTCCAAATCATGTCGATGATATTCAAGTGCTTTATCAAAAATACGCAGCACAAAGTAAGCATTTCCTAACTGTGAATAAATTGCGGATAATGCTTCCAAGCTACGTCCTCCAAGATCAATTTTTTTATTCAAAGCCATTTCCAAGTACTTGATTCCTATAAAATCGATTCTTCTTTATAGCTAATCATTCAACATCTGTTAAAATAATAACATTATGCCCAAATTCAGAAACTGTAATGCACGTGTCCCATCTCTTTAGTTATTAACTGTTTTCTAACACAATATGAATCTGCAAATCAGTCTTTCAGAAAGAGCAAAGGCACATCACATAGACTCAATTCGATTGATATGATATAAGATGTACAAATAAAGTGGCCAATTTCAAACCTGCTTTCATGCTGTTCTCGCGGCATAACCGCTCACCCTCCTGGGCAAGCGCCAAGGCATCCATACCTTCTACCGCCAGTGATACGCTCATCTATACACTTTTCTGTACGATTTGAGATTATAGCTTCACCTACCCTAAAAGAAAAGCTGCATAATGATACTTTTCAAAATGTATCCAACAACTGCGTAAACACGATTGGATCTCATGCCAGAAAATTTAAAAACGATATGAAGTCCAACAAGATTACATATTTTCGTAATTAAAAAAATAACGACGATGTTATGTCCTTATGCACTTTATGAGTCACATATTCACGCCAATCCTTATCACACGTATCAACACGTCCCTACGCACAATAGCGATCAATACACGTTCTAAGCAATGGCGCCAATTGATCGGTGATTTAAGGTGCGGAACGCAATGCAAAAACGTTTGGTGCATGCAACACTGCATGCAACTTTTTTCAATGCTTTCTTGAGGTGTCATTATTAATCTCGAGGTTTGAGGCAATATTATTAGCGGAGAGATGCGGAAATTACGAAAGCTTATTGTAATTATTATGTACTGTTTATGCGATTACTTTAGCGACGGTATCTTAATAAAATTTAAACATCTAGAAAAATATTTCAAATAACGTTAAAAAATTGATAGTAGGCCTTGAACGGCAAGGAATCGCATGTTTGAGGACGTTCAACGTTCCTCTGAAGTGGTGCAGGAATCCACTCTTACAGCTAGTCGAGAAATTGAATGCAGTGGTATGTTTTTCATCTCATAAGTAAAAATTTAGGGGCGGCTTATTTCTCCCAGTTAAATCTTTCTTTAAAATTGGTTATTTTACAACGAAATATTTTTATATTCTTTTTGCTTTTCAGACACTAATGTACGACAAGATGTAGAATGCCCACACAAGAACAAGAAGGGATTATTCAAAGTTGCAAGTTTGCGGAAAAAAGTGAAGAATTTTAGGAAGAAGGTGGAAATTAATTATTGCGAAGACTGTGCAAGGCTCGATCCACCAGAGCAACGGCCATCGGTTTATTTTTTATTTGTTCTGTAAAACTGCCCAAGTAAAGTGGCTTGAATTATGGCTATACCTTTTCTGAAAGCTAACAATGTATAAAAATTTATATTGTTTGCTTTCTAACTGATGCATGCTGTTGTTAAGGTATGGATATGCGTCACTTGCAGTTTTTCGGGCTGCGATGAAAAAAATCACACTTTGAATCACTTTAAAGCACTGCGTACTGGTACAGAACATCCATTTTTTTTTGCCGTGGAAGGCAAACAATTCCGGTAATTTTTACATATTCAAAATTTAGAATCAGTGTGATATTTTTTTTGCGCTACGCATTCATTTTTTGTTTCTGTATGTTTACAAGCAGTTCATACATCGGTAGAGCAATGCATTGACATATGTGCTTAGTAAGAAGGGATCCCAAGTAGTTTTTTTCTGTAATAAAATAATTTAATGAATTATGGAAATATTACATAAACAAGTGCTGAAATGCTGAAAGTTCAATTAATCAAAAAGAGACTTCCACATTGTTTATTTAGTAATCTTTACATTTTTATTGTTCGTGTTACAAAACAGCGAAAGGTCCCTTGGTCGCACAGCTGAAATGTTCCATTGAGAGATGTTCATAACTTCAGGTGCTTCAGCTGCGAAAAAAGAATTGATATTGCTGGAGAAGAAAGTGGTTCAATAAAAGCTTTCCTTAACGATTATAACTCTTTTGTAAAACCAAAGCTGAAATTTGATCCATCAGAACCTCAGTCAATGAAAAGTGGTAATACGAAAAGAAATTCTTCACTTGTTGGAGAAGTTGATTCGAAAAAAAGTGAAATTAGTAACGAAAAGTGTTTAACGGAAAATAAAATGAAAAATAATGAAAGGAAAACTTTGCTACCGGTGAAGGTTTGTGAAATTAATTTATTTTCAGATAATTTTTGATTTGTTTGAAATTTTGTGAATATATTTGTTGTTTCACTCAGTGCAGTTATGAAATCAAATGTTTATTCTGCAATACAGGGCCTTGTTAATCTTGGAAACACTTGTTTTTTTAATTCGATAACCCAGTGCCTTCTTCACACTCACACTCTTGCTGTGTACATCAATTTGGTTGGTAGAGAAGACAGCATCGAACTCATGCGGAATGAAGTTTTAATTGGCGACAAGCAAGTCCAGGTACTTCATTAAAGTTTCTTGAGTTTTAGGTTCTTGAGGCTTTCTATTGCTTTCAGCACAGAAAAATTATTTTCACCGCTATCGACGCTCATGAGATTTTGACCAAAGTTTTAATAACCGGGTACTCTCATTCTCTTTGTAGTATCTAAATAGTATTCCTGTAATGAGCAGAACCAAAATTTTGCATTTCTGGATCCCGAAATGATTTTTTTTAATCTTTAAAACTTTTTAATACTAGGTTAAAAAAGTTTTTAATACTGGAATAATTTAATAGTAAGATTTTTGTGAGAGTAGCTGACGTTAAACAGTATTGGTTGAGCTATTTTATATGTATTTGAAGTGAGAGAATTTGAGATCTCAGATAATTTTTTTGAATTTGTATTTTGACGGTCGACTGTTTCTTCGAGCAGTATTTGGACTCCTTCTTTTTAATAACATTTAGAATACTAAATTTGATTGCCCGAAAAGTCTATCAAGCACCTCTTTTAGTTAAATATATTAGATATGTCTAGGAGTTAGCATATTAGAAAATTCCAGTGTCTTACCTTTTCAATAAATCTAGAAAATCTTTTTGTTCGTTGGTGAATTAACAGTCACTGCACTTGATATTGGTTTTTTTTTTTCAGATTTATACGAAATGAATAATTCTCAAACTCCCGAAAATGATCGCACATATTTCTTTACTAAATTTGGGAAAGAATTAATATCTTTGTTACTTTTTGTTAGATTACGATGCAGTTGCAGGTGCCGCATGTATATTTATCTTTGGATTCATTTGATGGACCATTAAATAATATTTTCGCGAATTTCATACGCGATTTCAAAGCTGGACTAGCTGTTCATCCCTCTTCTTTATTCAGCGAAATAGCCAGGAAGTTAGTGCATTGCTTTTTGGTGAAAAACTTTTGTAGTTTTATAGTTTTTTATAATTTTTTATGAATAGAAATTCAGATTATCGCCATTTATTGTGAATGAAAGATCCCTTACTTTGAGACCAATAAAACTTCAGCTAAAAGTTTTAATATATTATCACATTTGATTTTCCGTATTACGTCAGAAATCATCAATATATGGAAGTTGTAAATAATGGTTTCATTCTACATAATTTCATCTTCATATACTTGTAGAGCGCCACGTTTTCGAGGGTGGGCGCAGCACGATGCACACGAATTATTGCGGTATTTAATGGACGGTCTCCGAACTGAGGAAATTAACCGGTATAAGGAAGCTATTTCGCGATATATCAAAGTAGCTAAAAATGGAAATCCCAAGCTGACGGATGGTGAACTCTCTTTACTGGCTAAGGTTAATTTTTACTAATGCATTATTATATTTTCTAATCGCAACAATTTTAGGTTTGTAAAGTTAATCTACAAAAAATATCGAAGGCTGGATTGTTTAAGCATAATGACGATGCTGCGGTAGAATTGTATCTTACATTTCACATTAGTTATGAAACCTTTCAATCTCACAACTTTTGGTTGTTATTCTAGGGCATGCTCAAAGCATGTGGAAGACCGCTTATTGATGCTGTTTTTGGTGGTACACTCTTGCAGACAGTGAAATGCTCAGACTGTGGTCATCTTTCGAAGACTTATGAAGATTTTCTGGATCTTTCTCTGCCACTTCCATCGACATCAGTCAAAACACTGTTTAATGGAACCTGTAGAATGCATAAATCTGCTTCACTGAGCTTAAGTAAATATCAGAAAAAAAAAGAAAAAACAAATGCACGCAAAGGAGTTAGTAAAATTTATTTTAAAGAATTCATGAAATCATTCCTTCACGATTAATCCTTAGTTCATAAAAGTTGTACTTAGCTACTATTACTATTGATCAGTTACGCGGTTACATCTTATTTTTTTCAAATTTAAGAAAGTACGTCGAAAATCTCATGAAATCATTTCACATAACGATGAGACTAATAATACTGGAGAGCGACCCCATCTTAACAATGATGTTAGCGATGAAGACGTTCTTGATGACGATGATGTTGATGTAAAAAACCTGAACGGTAACATTTTTATTTTTATATTATTATATTTAGCATAATTTGCTTTAGTGATATTTTGTTTGGATAAAGAATAAAAACCATCATTCTCGTATGATATAAAATGATTTGAACTTAATATCGATTCGATTTTCGAACAGCAGTGCATTCTGTGCTTTCCTGTGAGAAATAGAATCAAATATTACGATGTTCTTTTTCCTTTTTTTTTTAAATTTCTAGTTCATTTTTTAATTCAGTTTTCCAGAATATTGAATATTTTAGGTAATATCTGTGATGAAATGAATAAAATGAATATGAATACTGAACCAGAAGACTGCCTGCAATTATTAGATGATGGAGAAGCTGCAGAAGATGAACCACGTTCATTAGCGTCATGTCTTCGAGCTTTTACAACGACAGAAGTTCTGTCGGCACCAAATACTTATGAATGTGAAAAATGTTGTGTTCCTTACAATAAACAGGTTTTAAAATTTAATTTTTAGTGGACTCTGTTCCCAATTCTCATCTTGAAATTCGAATATTGTATTGATAGAAAATTACAGTGCTTTTTTGCAAACCTCGTGACACATTAAAAACACATAGATATATTAGGTTTAAGATTTTGCGGACTACAAATACTTGCTATATAATAAACAATGCGCTATTCTTCAGCTTCGAAATGGAATGAAGAAAAGGACAGTTGAAGCTGAGAAGCGTTATTTGATCTACGAGCCACCTCCAGTTTTAACATTACATCTCAAACGGTTTGAACAGGTAATTTAGAAACCTCGGTAAAGTAGTAAAATAATTGCTTATTTTTTCAAAGTTATGTTGAACTGGCAGGAATCAAAGAGCAAGCATTCTAGACTTTTATTAAATAATTGAAAGTTGTGGGGAAAAGGTCTATGTTATATAATGCAGGAAGTCTTAATTTTCATTGTTATTTTCTTTCAAAAAGTGGAAAGCATCCATTGAGCTATATTTGGTTTTCTGAACTAGGTTCCTCTTTCCCTATGCTTACTGTGAATCTTAATACATAATTTTGCTGCTGCTTCAGGATTTTAGTTTTAGCTTTGCAATATGTTATTAGAATTGAATCTTCTGACTTAGTGAATCTTAATCTTTAATAAGCGATTCTTTTGCAAGAATGTAAAATATCTTTTCCCAACTTTTGGTCAGCCATTTATGTTAAAGCACTTTCTCATTCTTCATTCATGCTTATCGCTGTCCCTCAATTTTTCACTTCTTCAGACACATTCAATGGGTGGTCGATTGATTACGCGCAAGGTTCCTGGACAAATTTCTTTTCCAAAAATTCTTGATATTGCACCTTTTTGCACGCAAATAGCCAAGGTAATTGAGTTTCATAAAAATTGCTGCGCATTAGATTCCAACTTTCTTAATTGGTTTTTAAGCTGTAATATGTTATTTCTAATCATTAATCAGTAGACACTTATTATCATTCGTTAATTTCTGGTGGCGTGTTTCTTGTTTTCTTCTTGCATTTTTGAAATTTATACTTCAAATGATTTTAGTTGTGTTGTGGAAGTGCTGTGATCATTAAATGCGATTTTGCAGAGAATCGAAAAAGGATTTAAAAAAGTATGTTATTCATTATACGGTGTTGTATCACATTCTGGAGATCTCTCATCCGGTCATTATGTCGCATTTATCAAGAATCGATATCCCTCATCGCAAACAGAAAAATTTTTCTATGAAGCTGCAAATCTTTCGCCACCGGATTCATTTACTACTTGTAGCGCTTCAGAATTGAAAGAGTAAGATCTTTTTTGCATTTGTTTTGAAATGATTAGTGACTGTCTAGTTTTTAAGTAGAATTCTACAACTTCAAAAATTGAGAAAACTTGATTAAAGGAATTTTTTATGTCATAAATCTTCTGGTGCTCCAGTATACACTTTTGCTACTTGTAAAAATATTTCAGCATTGTTTGGAAAATCATAGTGATATTTGCCGTTTGATCCTAATTTCAGTAATTTTCTTTATTATTCTTTTTATATAAAATACTTTCTGCAGGGTAATAGAGGGGCCATGCGATGGCCAGTGGTACCATGCAAGTGATATGAAAGTAAGCTCCGTGTCGGAATCGCGTGTGCTTGGTGCCGAAGCATATGTCCTTTTCTACGAGCGAATCTTTTAATGAATTCTTTCCCATTTACTTACGGTGTCGTATCACTAATTTTTTTTTTCAACCAGTATTAAGGGTTTTTTTCATTGGCAACCAATTGTAGTATTTCAAAAGTTTCCTTTCTTGACCAAATGTGCTTGCTCACATCATTTGCAATCCAATTATGCTCCATTTTCTTTTCGCCCTCATCGATTTTAATTAAACTGCAGTTCACTGAATGCAAGGCTCAGCAGTTTCTGAAATACTTTTTGATAAAACATGTTTGTAGTCTTCTGCATTCTATTGTGATTGCTGTTTTGTCTTAGAAAAATATTTCATTCAAAATATTGTTTAATGGATAATTATGAATTTTTTGTATTTTTCTAAAGCATGACCGAAGGTGGCCGGAATAAATTATTTTTACCACATTAAATTTTAACGGGATACTGATATCCAGTGTTTATAATCCTTCAATCTCTGCATGCTGCGTTGAGCTGTTGTGCTTAGCAGTGAATTATGAATGTAGTGTTGAAGATTAGGAAAACCGAAAAGTGATCATTTCTTTTCTTGGATATTGGAATTTGCTTTTACTGGTCTTTTCATAGTGTCGTAAACTTCATTAATTTTTTTATATATAATTGGAATAAAGTGCTGTATCATCTTGTTCTTTGACGCTTTGGAATAGTTTATTAGCTAACTTTCTTAAGCTTGTTATTTAATAAAATGGTTGACAACTACAGTTACTTTTGACTCATTAAACAATCTGTTGTTATTATTTGCGTATATAATTCAGTATTTGATAGTTTAGTCCGCAAGAATTTTTCAGAATTATGTCATTTGTGAAGATTGTATGGATGACCGTAGTTGATCAGAACTCTACTGAAATTAGTTGGTTTTGTATAAACGATGGCAGAGAGCTTGCATCGTTGATTAATTATTCAAAAAGTATTTTCGAGTCTATTTCTGAGGTAAGTATTCATTACTTTTCCTTTTGAACAAAATTTGCTTGTATCATATAAACATTTGCAGCAAGTATTAGTGGTTGGGAACATATAGATTTATTGTAACCGCATGATATGTAATCGTTAACTGTTAATAATACTGATTGCATCCTGAAGTAAGTTTCATCAATCATATCTTTTTGCCTGTTTTTCTGTAATTTCTTTATCTTTCTTTTTTTTTCGTAAATGATAAACTAGTGACACATCGCTATATTCGTCCATCAAAATCGCTGAAGTCGATAAATGCATAAACTAATAAAAAAAGTTTACCATATGAAATAATTTTAAGCTTCAGTTCAAGTTCCATTCGAAACGACTGCTCATTCGGGGTATTTAATACATGTCTCTTTTTATCTTTATTCATTCATTGTTATTAATTAAGAATACGACTCACTGATTCACAATAAGCATTTTAACCGTGACAAGACGTTTTAAGCGTGGAGTTATGCCATTGATTACACTGTTGAATGATTAAGGAAAACATGCCTACTTAATTCAATTTTTTGAATCCATGACTAGTCATATGTTCTTGACAGTTTTCCTCATTAGCATTATAATTGTTCATATCCATATTTAGACTTTTGATTAAAGAAGTGCTTCACAATCACTTTTCATCTAATTTTTTTTTTTCGCATTTAAATCTTTTTTTTTTCATCTTTGCTGATGATACATATAGGATATTTTCAAAAACAGATAGACGGCATATACCAGTTTCCTTAACTCTTAATTGCATGTCTCTGATAATGTAACCATTACCATTTCTTTAGCTTCTTTCTTTTATATCTTCATCTCTTCTGCATCCTTTCCCATCTCTATCTCTTTTACCTGAAGATATATGGAATACAGTCTGGTAATTTTCATTCCTACAAAAAAAAACTGTTGCATTCGGTTGTCAACTTTTTATTTATTTGCAGGAAACATACAAAAATATATTACTAAAAGTGGGCAAATGATTTCCTAAAAAAAAAAGGATAAAATAAATGGATAATATTTAATATCCATTTAACAATGATGAAAAAAGAGTCTCTCATATTATGAGAAATTTCTTCGTAAAGGTTAAGCTAACTTGAACCCTTCAAAGGATCTTAACCCTGTTCATTTTTAGCTTTGTCATGCTGACGTTCATAGTCGTGCCATTTTGTATAGATATGTACGTGTGTGTATGTGTATGTCTGTGTGTGTGTGTGTGTGTGTGTGTGTGTGTGTGTGTGTGTGTGTTCTTTTTTGTCCACTGTCTAATGAATTAATTTTTTCACTGACATACAACATAAATGATTTTCGGATTTTTCTTCCATAAATTTTCACCAACTTGTCCCCAATTTTTTAAGTGTATCACTGATAATGGTTCCCACAATTTTTTGAGGAATGTCATTTTTTCCCTTTTTTTTAAGAGTAATTGTTGGGATAGAAACGCCCTTTTCCTAAGAACAAAATAATTCCTAACAACTACATTAAAATTATGTCGGCGTCTTTATAATGGAACGTCTTACTGTTCGGTATCCATGTTATCATATATTTCCCAATACCCAACTTATTCCTGTTTTCATTTTCTTATCTCTATAAAAACACTGCGTTCTACACATTTTCTTCTGTCATAATGCTGCTGAAAACATACTACTGTATCATTCATTGCTCCCGTATTTCTTTTACTTTTCTCTTACAGTCTTCAATTTTGCATTTTAATAATTTTGCAGATAGACATAGTTATTGCATATCATTATTTGTTATTTCATCGCTTGAGGCATCGCTTTGTTTTATTACATATACAATCTTTCTTGAAAATCAACTTGCTTATGTAATTTTTTTTTCTGTGTTTGTATTTTATTTTAAAAGGAGGATAATTATAAAGATATTAAATTTGTTCCTACACTTCAGTATTGTTCTATGTAGGAAACGACGAAAATTGAAAGAACGTTTAAAAATTTTTCTAGAAATACCTTGCTGACCTGATTCGGCATTTTGAAGATATTGAGTGCATTTTGTTTTAATTAAAAATGCACTTTCTACGAACAATGTATGAAGTTGGAGCATAATCTGAATTATAGTTAAACGAATTTTTTGTTGAACTTCTTTGCAAGGAATTTGATAGCTATGCTCTATGTTTTTTAGTTTCGCAGTTTTTTTTTTCAATAACAATTGGAAAGATTTAATTAACTTTTCCCCTGTCGTGTCCAGAATTTCCTTTCACTCTTTCTTAACAGTCATATATTGCGTTCCTTGCTCTACTTCTGTCCATGAATTTAACCAAACCGTTCATTTTGTATCTTTCTTCAGCAAAGAGTATTTCTTTGAAGGAATGGTATGATGAAGTTAATATACATTTGTGGAATATATCCTTTTAATTTTATGCACATCATAATAACATCTTTTTGTTCCACAAGCATATGAAAGTTCACAATGATGGCTGTAGGAGATAAAGAATAGTTGACATTGCTTGTTCTTGCATGTTGTCTGTTTTGACTGGGAATAGCAGCTGTTTTTTTTTTTTTTTTTNAATTCATTCTTTATGATTGTTGCATGTTATTTTATTTGTTAATGTGTGTATTGCTACTTACTAGATGAATTCACTTTATGAGAGGCAATCTATATAATTTTTTTAATTTTCTTTTTTAATAAACTCTAATTTAGAGAACTGTAAATCTTGACCAAAGATTATATCTTGCAGAGTGTGTATTGAATATTTGTTGAATATTTTGTTAAAAAAAGTTATTATTAAATGAATGTTGAGGCAACATTGATGATTTGCTTTTGGAATAGAGATAATTTATTGCTGCAAAATCCATAATAATTGATCCAGTTAATTTAGCTTAATTTTCTGTCAAACCTTTTTATATAAATTTTGAATTTCTCGGAATTTGTCACTTAAATTTTTGCTCTTACTTGTTAGTTCATTTTTTCTCTTTGCATTTTATTTAAAATTTATTTCACTAAAAAGTATTCCTCATTTTATCATGGATTATTTCAAAATTCTAAATTTTATTCATTTAAACTTGGATCTCTACAGTTGATGCCAAAAGCGAAATTTGAAAACAATAATTGAAAGTAGTCTTACTTATCCTACTACTTACAGAGGAGCTGTCAGCAAGTTGTAAATGGATCAACTTCAGAAAATTGTACTGAGAAATTTAACTTCACTGAACATTTTTTATTTTTGTCGCTGTCGCCAGTGGTTTGTGTTTGGTTTTATTGTGTTCTTTTGCCATTCATTTACTTTGAAACATGTACTTTTTATTGAATGCTAATTGCACTTTAAATAGTATAATCATTTTCGCTCTACTCTATTATCACTTTTTTAAAGAGTTATTTCTACTTCACCAACTGTTCCTAATTTCTGTCTTTCATTTCTTGTCCTTGTTATCATAATAAGTGGTTCTCTTTCGTCTTCTATCATTATTGGTGATGATTGAATGCTGTTTAACAGTGTTCTCTTCAAGCATGACTTCAATGACTGTTTGTGTCGGAAAAAGGAAGTGATTTCTGCATTTTTATGTATTATCTTTTTTTTCTGCTCAATTTCCAAACATAGGCAAGCAGTTGGAAGTAGCTGCAAGATTTCATTATTATCAGTAAATCATGTTCAGTCAGGTGATACGACGAGCATGTTCAGCATCTGTATACGAAAGTGGTTTATTAGCAATGAAAGGTTTGGAGAGCGGGAATGGAGAAAAAAGAGAAAAATATTCGTCTCTTATTTAAACTACTAAATTATTTACTATTTTACTTATTTTTGCCTTTATGGATGTGCATTCGGTTAGACAGACGGCTTTGTCGTTTCACAACGATTTATTATTCTTTAACAATAAATTGAACAAACTTTTAAATCAGTATTACGAGTGGATAGAGTGTTGAGAGAGAATAAGATTAACTTTTATAACATTGTTTTTCCTTATTGTGACCTATTTCGAAATGTAATTTTATTGATCGGCTAAAAGTCGTGGAATCACTTCTAAATGTGTTTTACTATAGAGGTGACTACTAATTTGTTTATATTTGTCAGCATTCCTCCGCTCTCATTATTTGCTAATATTATTC